GCATTGAGCGTTTAACTTGCATTTTATCTGATGCTAGCAATATTGGTACGTCACCATCAGGCAATATAATTGTTAAAGATATGTCAGCAACATTTACTTGACGTTTTCAATAGTTTTTGAAATATACACAGTAAATTGATCGGTTTATTTTCTAATTTGAAGAAACTATAACATTGCTCGATCCTATTTTTGCGGTCTTTTAGGTGATGTCATTTCTTTCTTAACATAACCAGCTCAATTTAAAACTTATTTCAACACGAGGTATGGGATTTCTTGCTCGAGAAACTGTCACAGACGTATGGGGTTCGCAATGTATAAAGCCGAAAAAAGTTTGTCTGCACGAAAATCATCCGAGAGCAGAGTTGCTGATGGCGGATAGAAATTTACTTTTTGTGGCTGGTACACTAAAATCTGCAAAGCGCATTTGTTCAAACAGATAAATAATTGTTTACACCGGTCCATGAAGTGACGCCATGACCTTAGACTTCAGCTAAACTTGCCGAGGTCACTTGTCTTGTGCCCTTTTATTTTATTTGGCAAATTGTACGGGAGACAAATGTCAGATTTTAATGTAACAGGCCTGTCAATTATCGTATGTCTTGAGTACGTTGTAAGCAAATATCCATATAAATTTTTTTTTTATTTTTTAATGTCAATATTGTGAAATACTGCTAAAACGTGCTTTAGAAGGGCCAATAATTAAAAAAATTTCTATTCGGCCTAGGTCGGACAGTTTAAACATTTCTCAAACCCATTAAAAGAGTTATAAAAATGTTTGTTATAGATTCTCTGCCTCATGATTTAAGATTTTTTTCTAGTCCGAGTAGTTAACAAAAACCAAACATAACTTGCGAGTTCATCTGTTCATTTCGAATCACCAAATGAGACTGTCAAACTGCTTCTTTAGTATGCATTCCCATATTTGTCTATTCATTGGTTTATTTTTATGCAAACTTATGTCATCGCATACAGGAGTAGATGATGGAAATAATCCTTGTGCATCAGCTCAGACGTTTTGCCGCCGATCATGGCCGAAAAAATGATGAACATAATCAGATACCTCAATTGTGTTCGTAAAAACGCACGTAATTTTGGTTCAAAATAATTTCGTGGTTCTCAAAGTGGCTTAGTAACACTGTTTAATTAGTCTTGTGCTACAAAAGACACATTCGTATTTCAAAATTAAGTAGAAACGACATAAATCAGCAACACGGCCGCGCACATGTTGAAACTGAAACCAACCAAATTGAAGCAGCCTAATGGTGGCGAGTGCGTCAGTGCCCTCTATCTTCTGGTCAGGCTACTAATAAAAAGAAAAGGCCTATAGCTTTTGCATCACACAGGTAGAACTACCAGCATACGCGGATGACGTAGCGTTGTTATGTTAGAATAAGAAAAGTGAGGAGTAAGTGTCACAGAAAACGGCTGTTCCAGAAACCGACGGGGGTCGTGATGACGTCTGCGGAAGAATAATGGCCAGGGAAGTAAACGACCGCCTTCGGCGGATGAGCTCGCGGCCAGGCGCGTGTCAGGTTACGCAGGAAGCGCTTCGTTGAAGCGACCGCATGTTCGGTGTTTCTTGGTATACACAACCTAGAGTGGTTTTGGGGGGTACACAGGTCTCTGCAGCCCCAGATTTACGAGGCGAGCTGGCGGCTGGCTGTTTGAATGTGTTTTTCGTCAGCGCTCGAATTGCCTGGCGGGTCTTAGTGTTTAGAAGAACCCTGCTTTAGGGTCAGGGGTCAAACCGAGGGGGCAACAACCTACCGTGGGAACAAAGAAAGTGCGGGAACCGCGGGGTCGCCAGGACTGACAGTGCGAGAGAGAACTCTTAGGCGGACGGACGCATCGCGACGTCGAGGGATGCGGCGAGACCCTGTCGACGGCCCCACGCCAGGCACTGGACGAAGCTTCCAGTGAGTGTGCGACCGCAAAAAGTGTTCGTGCGGGGCCAGTGAGCCGCGCCCACGGTGTGCCAAGCCACCCGCCGGAATTTCTCCACCTCGGACGGACCGCGCAGGGAGACGCCAGCACCTCTACGCCAGATGAGACTTTTTCTTTGCACTCACCTATTCTCCTATTTTTGTTTACCATTTGGACTCTCTTAAACTTAGTATTTTTCTAGTGCTGTCTAGGCAACCCCAAGCAGGAAATTGTAACTGTTATACTGTGCGTACCTGTGCTTCTGCCGTTTGATGTCTACGTGATTTTTGCATATTATATAGCGCCTAATTATCTACCCTATCCCTTTCAAATTAAACGTCATTTATATATCTGACACAGGCCTCCGTCTCTCTTCATTGGTAAGACTCTCCACCAGAGCGTGGCCCTATCGCTCGGTCAGCAGTCCCCTTCTTTCACATCGTTACTCGGGAGGCCTACCGCCTTCTTGTGACAGTAAGGCCTTCATGTAACAGAGATGTATTGAGAAGTAACTGGAGCGAGGTTAAATACTGACAAATTTAATGGCATCGGAATTGGTGCGTGGGCAACCATGCCAGGGCACTTTGCTGGGCTTTCGTGGAATTGTTGTCCCTGCAAATATCTTGGCGTTTGTCTGGATCATACACGATCTAAAAACCTATGTTGTAATTCTGTCGTAGCTCCTATTAAGCGAAAATGAGGAGCATAGTGAGCGCGATATCTTTCAATCTTCGCAAAAGCAGGAGTTTGTAACATTTTTTAATATCTACATTAATGTATGTATTACAAGTATTACATTGTGGCCGTTCAAATATACAAGCCTTTCACAAATTTTTTACGGCCTTTACCTAGAGCTCCTCTTGGGAATGGATGAAGTGCGATAACATTTCCTACCGTTAGGTGCTGGCGGCTTAGGCCTGGCGCATCTATTCGTCCGCCAGCTCATTTCCCGGCTGTCTTCTTAGGAATTTGTCCCATCCTTTTTTGCTTACACTCGTTCAAAGAACGGTAGCACATCACTTGCATTCTTGATTATTTCAACAACAAATCCTAGACCAGACAAACTCTGGAGCGTTTGGAAAGTGATAGTAGAAGTTCATTTTTCTAAAAGTTCGCATCTCTTTAGAGTTTCTGTCTGAAGAGCCAAGAAGACTGCTACCACAATCCCTAATTGAAAGTTTGTTCCCGGTTTTGTTATATTGGACATGGTTGAGTGACTATGAAGGACATGATGTTTTAAAACGCGTAAAGCAAATGTGCATATCTCCAAGTTCTTCATGTTGCACACATCAACGCTTCCAGAGAAATGGTGACTGCACCTTCTGCACAGATGCCTAATTATTCTGTGATGTCCTCCAACGAACTCTTAAAAATGGTATAGATATTGCCGACCATAATATTCGTACCAGGCACGTAGCCAGGATTTTGTTTCGGGTGGGGGGGGGGGGGGGGGGGGGCGCCCATGACAAAATGCTGTATGAGGGTGAGGGGGGAGAGGAGGTCCAAGTACGCACCTGATTCATACGATAATATTCGTTGTTTTACACGTCGCCAACGAAACACACGTTCCATACGATTTAATCATACTGATAGGCCTCCACAGCCTTTTGAGATATTTTGTTTATTTAACAGGAATTAGGACACATCACGCACCACTAAATCCACTTTTCTGAAAGAAATTTCGAAAGAAATGTTTACGACGCTCATCCACCAGTTCCCGAATGGTTTCCTCTTTTTGATGCGTGCTAGACTGAAATATTTAATATCTGAAAATAGTCGAGACTGTTGCGTGCTTAGAAACGTAGTTTGTGTATATAGAATGTACCGTGAGTGAGTACGTGCGGCTGGACTGTGGCTCAGGAAAGCAATACTCTAAACTTTTCACCTCATGACTATCACTCTGTGTATAACGACATTTTCACCTTGTAACCTTTCAACCGAAATGGGGAGACACTCGCTTAATAACCTGAATGGTTTGGGTTAGATTCCCGCGCGGCGCCAACGCTTTTTTACTGGGATGGCCTCTCCCCCCTCCCCTCTCTCAAAAAGCCACTTGTCCTGGCTACACTTCTGGTCTTCACGAAATGCCGTGCACCTAGTCAAAAAACGTTTTACGTTAATAATTGTTATCCAAAATTAACGCAGGTAGTCCCTCTCCTCGAGATAGCTTGCTTCACAGCATGTCACCGCCGATCGGTGAGCTGAACCAAGCAGCTTAAACCGTAAAGCCTTTTTGTTGCTCCACACCCCCCTAAAGCAGCGCGACCTTTGTAACCCCCATCAGGGGCCTATTGGAGTTCTATACTCTGGCCCGATTCCACACACTCGTTGCCAATAGGGATGTTAACACCACATTCTCGTTTTAGTTTGTAACATGACTGTTACGTTGTAAGTGAGAGTTTACCAGTCCTTTGTGTTTATTGAAATACACTAAATGAACTCTTGGCCTCGTAATGACAACCGCAAGACACCCCCTTCCTCCCCCTGCCCCGGGTTTGAGGAGGCCAAATGCAAGATGGTGAGTCTTTTCCCGGACGGCATTCGCGGTTGTGTAGGCGAATAGTTCATAGACAAATGTTCGCTTCAAAACGATTCATCAGCTTCTTTATTGCACCACCGTGTCTGCATTGCACCGCCTGGTCGATGCTCTACCTCATTCCGTGCTTTTTAAATCTTTTATTCCTAATTAACGCAAGTTCACGAGACGCACATTGTTACGGTTACGTCGGAGCGTTTCCGAGTTCCCGTGTAATTTCGGCGCGCATACGTAGTGCCATCGGCAAATCGTTCGGGAGCGAACCGTTTGCGTCGAAACGACCCACTAAACCTCCGAAAACAATCTCCTAACGCTGAGACCTACACAGTATCGGGACACTCCATGTCACACTGTCGCTAACGCCGCGCGCTACAGGTTTGTTGAAGGCCCTACGGTTCTAACTAGACGGCTAAGTTTAGGTTCGACCAATCTGACTAAACGTCCTGCCTTACAAGCTGTTGAACAAGGCATGCAGTTGGCTTGTCTGTAGCCTGCCACGAGATACGACACCGCAGCACCACTCGTCCAACCTTTCACGCAGACTACTGGAGGAGCACCAAGATGTCGTACTGGCGGGAAAACAAGACGCCCAGGTCTTCATCCCAATGTGCGGAAAGGCGCCCGAATTGAAATGGTGAGGGCAGTTATTAGTATCTACGAGAGCGAACTGCTGCTCGCTGGCCCGCCGCGACACACTTCAATGCAGGGTCCTTGTACTGTCCCAGCAGAACAAAAGAAGCTTGCCGTCTAGGGTCATCTTGTCCTCACATGTGCAGGTTTCAACTTGAGTACTACTTGGCCTTTGCTGACTCGGCCCTTTGTGCCCTTGCTGTCGTGTCGCTAGTAGTATACATATATCACTGGCCCAATCTGCATGTCAAGTTCGCTAGAAACGCTTTAGCTCACACCAAAAAGTGAAAAAAGGCCCTTCTATGTAAGCACGCGTGCACTGCAGGCAAACATATTGGGTTGATGAGCATTCGCTCTGCACAACAACTCAACTTTCTGGCGTCACGGCACCGCGACGATGCTGCTGTCGGCACTCCGCAGACGCTTCATCTCACGCGAATCAGGATTCTGCGCTCACACATTGGCCGCACCTAGTATGGGCAAATGCGGGCTTGTTTGTAAACTGGGTGTTGGTGTCTTGGCGACGTGCGTAATCGAAAGCGTCGGTGTGGTCGCCCTTCCGCGATTGGCCGAATGCTGACTATGATGTCGGCCAAGGATTTTTAATCGACGTAAATAGCAGGAAGAATATGAGGGCTCTAATTTTGACGGTGTTGGTAGTGTTGCTTTGAGAGCGCAATGAATTCAAGCTTCCACCATGCAAGTTACAAACACCCTCGAACTTGCTCTTTGCAAGGTAATGACGTCCCGATAGGAGACCATAGGAGGGCGGCACCAATACATCTTGCCGCCAATAGACCGAAACACTGCTGACAAACAACTCCGCGTTTGCCCACACCACGTGCGGGCACTGCACGTGGAACTACATCCGTGTCAAAAGATCTCTGTCCTCTATGGTGAAGCACATGATGACAGTGAGCGTTCAGTAGATTCCTTTCACACCGCCTAAACTATTGTTAGTGTGAATCAAAAAACTGAAACCTATGCACGCCGTTTATGGGGTATCCACACGAAGGAGAAATCCGCCACTTTCCTCCGCGGAGCGCGCATCACGTGAGACATACGTCATCCCTTTTTGACGCTTCGCGGTGCCGTTCTCCTCCGTGACGGAGGCGCGGAGGCTTCGTGCTGTCAGCACGAAAGCTCCGCACGTGCACGCGGCGGAGCAGGGGACGGAGTTTCTCGGCTTGTTGACGTCACGACATCCGTCCGCGGAGTTCTCCTTCGTGTGCATACCCTTCGTGTGGATAGTGTATCCACACGACGGACCGGGCCGCGGACCGATTGATCATGTGATCCGCGGCCCGCGGGCCGCTCGGCTGCAATGAGCATCCACACGGCGGACCAAAAGAGCAGACGATAGAGCGAACGGGCCGGTCTAACCCTGGACCTCACAACCCCGCCAAACGCATGCAGCGAGCTGCTTTGAGGCTATTTGTAAGGAGCTAAGATGGAGGTTGAACGAAAGAGGCGTTTCGCTGCGGTGGTCCTGGCGTGGACTATTGAGGACGAGGGGTACTTAAGTGAACCGAAAAAGCCATGGGGACATCTTTAGATGATTATTTGAGTAGTCGTCGCGACTATTGTCCCACAGACCTGGGAATTGCTCCATGAGCGCGATGAAGTAAAAAGTTGCATCGTCGCACAACAAAAGGTTCGTCTTCGTCTTCAACAGTTGGCGCCGAAAGAGAACGACTTTGACTTTGGGTTCCAATCCAAACAACAAAAGTCAGCTTGTCGCCAGACTTAGCGCTTCAATTATACTAAAAACGCCGCGGTCCGCCGCCAAGGTCCGGCCGAGGAAAGCGCTTGGCATTTCTCAGAAGCGCGGGCCGCGGACCGCCGGCGGACCTCAAAGAACGGGGACGTAAGATCACGTGATGCGCGGCCCGCGGACCAAAACAGCAATTTGGTCCGTCATGTGGATACACCTTATCAAACAAGTCCGCAATGGCCCACACCACGTGTGGGCAATGCGCGTGGAGTCAGGTCATGCTATTTAGATTTCTTGGTGTATTAAGAAAACGTGTAACACAAAAATTGTTAGGTGCCTATTTTTAAATTCTTGTTCAGTATTTTTGAACACATATGTAGGTGGCAGGAATAAAAAATCGACTCTCTATAATGGGAGGTTAAGGAAGTAATGGTTATATATGTACAAAAAAAAACGTTTTAAGATAATTGTGTTTAATTTAAAGAAAGAAAAAAAAAAGAGGAATAACAAATTTCTATTTGTGCCAACTCCCTCAGAGTGATTCCTAATATAGCCGTGACCGTAGTGGTCATTGTTAAAGTCATGTCTTCGCTTTCGTGCTTTTCGCCTTGCTTGCCGGGCCTCTTTTGCGACCTGTCGTGTTACTTGGACCGCAAAGTATATTAGAGTACGGTCAGCTTCTTCCAGTACTTGACGGTGTTTCACCCAGGGTTCAATCATGAGGACTTCCAAATATTGGCTCGTGCGATGCTACACCCCTTGAATGAAAAAACGGCGTCCAATGTCACCATTTGTATCGTTCAAAAACACAGGCGCTTGAAAGTACACACGTGGAAAAAACGTGCCCAGTGACTTGGGATTGCCTTGGTTAAAAAAAGCTATGCAATATTTGCCAGGTAATTTTATTCCCTTACAAAAAATGTAACCAATTTCTACAGAATTTCTAGACATAATTGTGGCTAGAGAGCATAGATTTCCTAGGGAGAATGTATCCACTTTTTTAACCATTGTCTACAGATTATTGGCCGCTGCTTCCTACAGGTTTTGTGTAGACTTCAGTGAACAGATAATGTGGCGACTCTGTACAGCAAACATACAGACATTCTAGCAACACTCCTGTCCCATTTCTAGCGCCAATTAGAGAGTTTCTAACGAATTGCTGCAGACAAGTGGCCACAGTTTCTATCATCTCACTATGGAGAATATAGCAGTTTCTACCCATTTTCTGCCTACTTTCTACAGAAAATCCCCTCAACTCTATCCATTATCTACAGAAAATAGGTCAGTTTCTATCTTTGTGTAGTGCTAGTTACCAGTTATGAAGTGTACCGATGCATATGCTGCGTGCAGAGCACTTGCTTCATTATACACTCAAAGAACAGACAAAATGTTCTTATTTTTCGTTTTTTTTTAATTCTCAGTTGTTGAGCAGTGTTTTGTTGTACTTGTCCAGCTTGCTCAGCATGCTTGATAGGCTGTGCTTGATCTTTGCTGCATCGACCTTGAAAAGTGCACAGATGTGGCCTGGAAAAATAGAGAGAGAGAGAGATGACAAGTTAGCATCTATTAAAATCTCCAGTTGTGCAGCTCCACACTACTCAACTGGGGAGCACATGCCCCATTCACGGGCTCACTTGCTCGATAATTAGGAAAAACGGGCATGATACGTTGGAAGCAAAAAGGGTGGGAGATCATGGATGATGGACGATAGAGGCTGTAACCTTTGTAAGCTTGCGCCATCAATACAGCTGGCCCGGCCAAACTCTCCAATCAACGCCAAGCTACCAACTTCTGCGTGCAGCTTTCATAGAAGCCTAGACGTTGCATGGTAATGAAAAAGTTAAATGTCTTCAAATCGCTGCTCCATTAGCAAGTCTATATTACACTAGGGACGTATACAGGGTGTTTTTTTTTAGTTGAACCAAATTTTCAAAAAGGGAACTTGAGATAGAGTAATTTGAGCCCTGGGGAAGTGTTAATGGCCATGGCGGCCTCTAGAAAATATGTGAAATTAGGCAATTAGCAAATTAACTTAAATGTTTTAATTAACTTTTTAATTTTCGACTTGAGGGCGGAAAACGCAGTTACAAATAGCGCTGTACAGTGCCTTTCGGGACAATCGCTGTGGATTACACGTTGAACTCGTCTGAGATTCTTGGCACAGAGTTCGACACGGTTCAAACGCATCGGATAGTGACAAAACGTATATTGCGTAGCAAGAATACCGATCCCAAATGGTCAGGAGGGCTTCTCCTTGTCACTCACATGGAAGAGAAGGCGGTCCGTCGTGTCTTCGGTCCGTCGAACCGTCGAAGCTAGTGGGCACATGTATGCCCACAGGGCGGCGGAGAAAAGCTCACCGGAGAAAAGCTCACCGGAGATAAGCTCACCGGAGAAAAGCTCACCGGCCTTTGAGCGGATGCGGAGAAAAGCTCACCGATTTTTTTTTTTTTAACTTAGCGGATTTTGCGTTAAACGTTGTAATTTAACATAATTCGCAATCGTCACTTGATTAAAAATATGACCACTTTTTTGTAATAGTCTTGAAGTTCATTGGGCATATTTACTAATTCACCAGATATTAGTAATCACCCTGTTTGTATATTAATGAAGCTTCAAGTATATAAAATCAGAACATCGTACACCGGTAAAAAAAGACAACAATTTATTGTCCACTGGCAGTGTGCCGTCGGTATAGTTTTGTCAAATAAAGAGGTTTTTCCTTTGCGAGCTAACGTGAATAGCGGTGTGGGAACCGTTTCAGTTCCAAATATTGTGTAGTGCCTAATAGATAAGTATGTGTTTGTTAATGTAATCGGTGTCGGCTACGCTGTTTTCTTTCTGTTCATTTCACTAGCCAAACTTTAGCTGCGAGAACCGATTCGTCCTGTCGTGTTTGTTATCTTCACTTCGTCGTCGTCGTTTGAGTGGTTTTCATCATGTATAGCGTTTACCAACTCGCCCTATTCGCTACCTTACAGAAGAGTACTTATATAGGTCACGAGTAACAACGGTGCCAGTGTGCACCTCTGAAGGTCATGGATGGTTCGCTGTAAAAGGGCACTATCACACAAAGGCAACGTGTGAAAACACCACCACGAACGGCTAGAAAACGTTCATGTCCGTGGAAGAAAGAAGCCTCAATATCCTACTGACTGTTTTATCCTGTTTTCAAAGGTTAACAAAAGCTTCAAAGAGAATTTCAGGCACAACGTTGTTGCGCATGCACTTTGGATTTTGACATTTGCAGTTTTGATCCGTTTTAGGCAGACATTATTCTGTTTTCGAACTTTTTCCTCTTCTTTAAGTTCATAAAGTTTTTAGTTGGGCTTTTGTTGCCTACAGAGTAAGCCACAGAAAACACACGCCCGCAATTATTAATTTGGGAGCAATATACCAAATAACCTTAACAAATATTACAAAAAACGACATTTTCTTTTTTACAAAGCTGGCGAATTTTAATTATAATAAATTGATAAATGTTACGCATGATCCAACAGCCTCCATGTAAAAAGAAACAAAAATCGGTGAGCTTTTCTCCGCATCCGCCGGTTTTGCGGTGAGCTTTTCTCCGGTGAGCTTATCTCCGGTGAGCTTTTCTCCGGTGAGCTTTTCTCCGGTGAGCTTTTCTCCGGGATTCATGCCCACAACAAAGGAAGATCACCGGTGTGTAGGCGCTGCCGAAAGAATATCCATGGTCTGGGCCAGGACCAACTTGAATAGTTGGTTCTGGTCTGGGCAATCCGCATGTTGAAGATCGCACTTGGCACTAAGACGAAATGCGCTGCTGGTGATCGGAACTCTAGAACTAGATTAACCACATTTACCACAGAAGCGAAATCCACAGCAGGCCCGCAGGCCGCATCACCCGCGAAGCTAGGTCCGGTCTTCGCAGGAGTTCCGGGTTTGTCAAAGGCTAATGCGTCATCCGTCAAACCACGTGATCGCGCTTCTGCCTTTACCCGCGCACAGAGGGAGGATTCAAGCGATAAAAAGTATACGGCTCATTGGTCCGGCGAATACGCACCGTCTACTACGCCTTCAGCTTAGAGAGAGAAAAAGAAAGAAGTAGAAAGGAAGCAGCAGAGAACGGGGGGCTGCGCTTACAAAGGCTAATCGTCAGGGCCATCTCAACAATGAACACAACGGGAGGATTTGTCACTTGTACCCGAGGTTGATAAAGCAGTGGATGTTATGCATGGCCTTGGGCTTTTAGTCAGGTTCCGTGCTCTGCTTTATTACCAGCTTCGAGACTGTAGTCACGTGACCCTAACCGGAGACACGATTGGCCTAAAACACGCATAGCGTCTACCCTGCTGTCAATACCGATTGAACAGGACAGCTCTTTGAAGGCCAGCTTTTGAATTTCTAAAGAAGTTGTCTAGCCCAAGAGTGATTCTAAACTACTTTCTAGTTTGATTCTAGTTTGAAGACACTATGTTTTACGTCGTGTAACTCACATTATATTAACAAATAAATAAATAAATAAATATATATATATATATATATGTTATCAATAAATTAAGAATTATTTGTACACTGTTAGGTACGCGTTTTAAAACTTCAATTTTTTTTTTACGAAAGAGTAACACATAAAAGACACCACGGACAGCACATCGTCCGACTTTCAGCAGACGATGAGTCGCCGAAGCTCGCTGACGGAAGGTCGCGATGCTGCGCTAACAATTTCGGAAAGATGCTGCGTAGAGGACGCCGGGCGCAACTGCTTCGCGACCGTTCGAAGGGCAAAGGAATCGCGACGACAATGTAGCCTCTTCCAACTTCAGAAAGCTAACGGGGCTCGAGAGTTCCACGCTCACATTTTCGCACAGCGAGCGCGGCCGGCCACATGGTGGCGCAGTACGCTCTCGCGTTGCGATTGCTACGTCGTTGCTCTGCCTACACTGATGACATGTGCACTGGCAGTCGAAGCAGCCCTCTCGAGACTTCATTCGAGTCCATTAGACGACTTTATAGCGAGATAGACTCTCGTAAAACTGAGAGTAGAAGTCACTTCGGTTGGCGGCGTAAGCGGCGGCTTTATGTTTGTTGACACCTCCGTCGACAATGACAAATAAGCACAGAAACATTAAATATTAAAAGTAGGGCACGCAGTGGTCGAGGCTGCAACCTACAGCATGTTTGATTGGAAACACATGTGTTATTGATGTATATGTACTCTATGTGATTATTTTTAAATGTTTATCAGGGCCGGATCTTGTGACAATAAAATCCTGTGACTATGTAGCTCACTTCAAGCCTGTTGTAAAAGCGTTTCTTACTACACACGAAACCTGCTTATGACTCATATCAACGATTTTGTCATGTTTTCAGTGTGTATGGTCTATCAAGTCAGGTCTGTAGAAAATCTAGGAATATGGCGACGCAAAGTCTAACGACCGTTGGCGACAGACAGTTGGTGAGATTTCTGACGACTGTGCTCTGTAGACTCCTGTTGACAGGAAATCTGTAGAAACCTTGTAGAAAAATGGCGATAAGATAGGAAGTGGACAGGTATGTTAAAAAATCGTTAAGATGCCTACAGACCGGCACACATTTTCTTTTGTAAGGGTTGATGTAGCATATTGCGGACATGCTTTTAGATGTATACTGTTGAAATACCTTTCTGTTTAATTTATAGATAAACAGGGAGCTTATCCTATAAGGGGGCGTGGTCACCGGCTTCTTGCTTTCAGAACAAGTTGTTTTCAGCCCGCAACATGACTTTCTAAGAATAGTGCGACAGTTAAAAATATGCAGAAAGAAGTAAACTTTCCAGATTGCAAAACATTAACATCGTTTTTGTTTTGTTTTTAATTTTGCTTGTTTAGTGATTTTTAAGCTGAGACTACAGACAAAGCTACAAGCGCGAGCTAGAATTTCTAACGCGAGCGTTCGTTCTGCGGAATAACGCTTCAAAGCAGAGACCTAGAGCTCTCGTGTCTAAAGCCCCTTGATAACAGGTTTCTACAAGTAGCGACATTCTTTGAAGCGCCGAACGCGTGCCGGTGCAGATTTTAGGAAGCGAATGACGGCGCACAGCAGAAGAGTTAAATGAAAGACGCCATTTTCTCTCTACAGAATGTGCTGTGATTCGTTTAGTTGTCGTTACTTGTAAAAAGAAGCATTAGGAGACTTTACTCGTGCCTCCTCACATTGGCTGTACTCTCAGCTTCAGGGTGAACGGGGTGTAACACGCGCGTGCTGGGCTGTGAGGATCCATGCTGCAGGCTGGGGATTTGTAAGCGTCGAATGGTGTACAGTGCCATTTCCTACAAAGCGCAACAGTCCCCCTTCCAAAGTCACGTTACGATCATTAGAAAATTGGGACTACTGCACAATGGCGGAAAAAGTGACATTGTGGAACGTGCAAGTCATTCCTAAGATAGTGAACGCCAGAGCGCGTCCAAGCATTAAGAACTGAGGGACCAATCAAACAGCATTAAAAGGAGAACGTCACTACGCTCATCCCCCTTTTCTGTGGGTGTTTATGGCTTCAAATCTTTCCAAACGCATAAGTGTGTGACGAAGTTGCGGTTTTAGTCCGCCATTGGGCAGGAATTCCACAGTTGCGAACAGGGCATAGTCTTTCGGAAAGAGTCAATCTGAAGATGCTGAAGTTTAGAGAAAAAAAGTTCTGGCACCGTCAAACTGATTAGTGAGTAGACCGAAAGCTAGCTTCTTTGTCTCCACTGAACTCGTCGAACGCGTTAGAACGCGGAACGCCGGCGTACGGCGCTTGACTCTCGCATTCGTGCGCATTTGACAAGTGCAGTGGAGGCAAAGGCAACTAACACTTGGTCTGAACTCGGGGTTCTGACTTCGTCTCCTCCTCTCCTCAGTTTTGCAGCGCATATTTTTAATTCCATATAATACGTGTTACATCGGCTGTCTCGACCAGGTTCTACGATAGGGGTCACCGCGTGGTTGGCGTAGAATTCTTCGAATCCTGTGTCCGGAGCTTTTTCGTCGACAATGGCATCCCTTTCGACGAAGCCGTGTGTCCTGTTCTCAAGTGCAAGATTCTTCAGGTGAGACTTGCGCTCTGGCGCACGTGAATTTGCATAATTTGCGCTAGAATAGGGGCCCCCGCCACTCGCTGTGCACCTTCGAACGATGACAGTACGGGACAAGAAATGCGCTGAAGAGAGTGAAACCGATGTGCATTCCGCAGAAACGCGTTTTCCAAGGAACCAAGTAGTAGCCTTCCTTTTCTGCGGGCCGGGGGGGGGGGGGAGGGGGGAGGGGGGAGGAGGAGGAGGAGGAGGAGGAGGAGGAGGAGGAGGAGGAGGAGGAGGAGGAGGAGGAGGAGGTAGGAAGGCGGAAAGTAAACACACTCCCGCGCTAGCCACGGCATCGAATCTTTCCGAACTGGCCAGGGAAGGCAGTAGCCATGGCGCAAGGGTCGATTTTCGGGTCAGGCTTGTGTGTGGTAGAGGCTTAAAAGCGCTAAAAACACAAAGGACCTGTTGAAGAAGGATGTACACCACAGAGGCGCTTCTTGCAACTAGTTTATTTTCTCAAAATACATACGTACCGCGAAAACAAAACACAAAATCTAATCTTTATCACGCAATCGCTTATCACTTTGTTCTGCATTGAGCCCTGGAATATC